AGCATTATTCACAATAGCCAAGACTTGGAAGCAACCTAAGTGCCCATCAAGGGACGAATGGATAAAGAAGATGTGGTATATATACACAATGGAATACTATTCAGCCATAAGAAATGATGAAATCCAGCCATTTGTGACAAGATGGATGGACATTGAGCATATTATGCTAAACGAAATAAGTCAGAGGAAGAAGGTCAAATACCATATGGTCTCACTCATAAATAGAAGATAAAAAACAACAACAAACAAACACATAGAGACAGAGACTGGACTGGTGGTTACCAGAGGGGAAGTGGGGAGGGTGCAAGGGATAATTAGGCACATGTGTGTGGTGATGGATTGTAATCAGTATTTGGTTGGTGAACATGATATAATCTATGCAGAAACAGAAGTATAATGATGTACACCTGAAATTTACACAATGTTATAAACCAATATGACTGCAATAAAAGTAAAAAAAAAAAATTCTTGAGGTCTCAAAAGAATTTTGTGTGTGGGTGCATGTTTGTGAGGAAGATTAGCCCTGAGCTAACATCTGTTGCCAATCCTCCTCTTTTTGCTGAGGAAGATTGGCCCTGGGCTAACATCCATGCCCATCTTCCTCTAGTTTATATGGGAAGCCGCCACAGCAGGGCTTGACAAGCGAGGTGTCAGTCCGTGCCAAGGATCTGAACCTGTGAACCCCGGGCCGCCGAAGTGGAGAGCGGGACTTAACTGCTACGCCACCAGGCCCCTCAAAAGAATTTTTTATGTGGGTAATATTTATTGATTTTTACCATAACAGAAAGCAAAACTGAGAAAGTTTAACTTATTAAAAAAAAAGACTCATTACATATTAACATAGAATATTTTACCCAAAAAGTCCTATGTTTGAAAAAAAAATATATATAATATATATACTGAGAAGACTGGCACTGTTTCATATTTTTGCAAAATCACTAATATCTGGTTTAACAGAAGACAGCTGGATTCACACATCTGCTTCTGCATTCAATCATGATATCAAATATCATGTAGCCTCTGGAAAACTACTGTATACTTCTAATAGAGTGAAAATAAAGAAGGTGAATAATGTCTTAGTATTGTTATGAATATAGTTTTGACCTCAAAAACTCCCTTTTCAGGCTTCAGGGACCCCCAGGGTCCTCAGATCACACTTTGAGAATCAGTGGCTTAGTAGAAAGTGCCTTTAGAGTTTAGGAGATCTGCGAATGAATGCCATTTTTACCACTGTCTGGATGTATGACACTGAACAAATCACGTAACTTCTCTGATCTTCCGTTTTTCTCATCAACTGTTAGGATAACGATATATCTATTTAGCAGGACCATTGTAAGGATTAGAGATAATACTGATGTGTTTAGTACAGTGCCTGGAACAAAGGAACTATTTGACTATAAATTAACTATTATTATAATAAAAGAGAATATTTATTTTTTACCTATTTTCACTCTTACCCAGTTTTCAATATTTGCTGCTTCCCATAAACTTTAAAGAAGCTCTTACCTATTTATGTAAGCAGCCAACTGTTTTGGAGATTTCTTAACCTGAAAAATAAGAGTAGTTAGCTGTAGCACATTTAAGTTCCTTAATGAAGCTATGTAAACTCTGTGATTGTTACTAACAAATTTATTTTTCAGATTAAAGCTTTTTTTTGTTCTAATACTGTAGTCTCAGTCATTAGTTACAACAACATTGTATGTAGGTATGTTTGACAAAGCAACATATCCATCTATTTTCCACGCCACTAGTCACATATTATACTTACAGAGTGCTTAGTAAGTGAGCTGAATTTTAATATGGTTTTAAAAGAAATTATATCAGTGCTAATGAGCCTTGCAATAGTGAACAAAAATGATTTCTGAGATTTCTCTTTAATATTAAACCAAAATATCAAAATTATATCATATCAAAACAGTATACTGGCCAAAAAGTTTTTAGAGCTTTCAGAAGGTAAACAGTTTTCAATATATCATTAATTCTACTTAATTCAGAATCATTACTCTCTTGTTGTTTATACAGTTTAACTAGAACTATCCATAGACCTAACAGTTTAAACAGTCTGTGGTGGACTTAATGATTGTGTCTTTCCAAAATTCATATGTTGAAATCCTAAACCCCAAAGTGATGATATGAGGAGGCAGGGCTTTTGGGAGGCGATTAGTCCACGAAGGTGGAGCCCTCATGAATGGGATTAGTGCTCTTATAAAAGAGACCCCAGAGAGCTCTTGCCCATTCCACCATGTGAGGACACGAGAAGACAGCCATCTATGAATTAGGAAGCCGGCCCTCACCAGCTACCAAATCTGCCAGCACCTTGATCTTGGAATTCCCAGACACCAGAACTGAGAGAAATAAATTTTTGTTGTTTATAAGCCACTCAGTCTATGGTATTCTGTTACACCAGCCTGAACAGACTAAGATACTGTCTTACACAGTACCTAGAAACCATGGACTTACCTCCTTCATGTTCTTATTAGTGAATTTAGAGATCCTTTTTCTAGGAAGATCAATGTAATGATCCTCAATACTATTACAAAAGTTCTGTTTTTTAACATTGTGGGTTTCAGATGCCATAATCTCTTAAATACCTAAAAAAAAGAAAAATAATAAATGGAAAATAAAAAAGCAAAAGAGACTATTTCCTTAACACACACATAAACATACAACAGCTCCGTGCTATGTAAAAGAGGTTTATGGAGTAAAGCAGGGGACACAGTTCTAATTCATACATTTTTAAAAACCTTAAACAAGAGGAAGCACAAGAGAAATTACAGCTCTTTCTGTTCTCATTCTTTAGTTGCAACCAGTTACAATAATACGGCATGTATTTTTTGCCCACGCAACATGTCAATCTCTCCATTTTCCATATCATTAGCCATATATTAAATTTAAATTTACAGGTTATGAAATCAGGTCTATACAGTAGTGGTATCTATGACATCCAAATGTATAGAAGCCTAAAATTTTGGAAACAAATCAGTGGGTCAAATACAACCACAAGCAGCCAGAGGAACCAAAATCAGACTCTATATTATCTGACTTGTTTTATGCCTAATCCTTAAATTTTTCTTTCATTCTTGCAGCTAGCTCTCCAAAGCTTTCCTCTAACTTTGAAAAAATAATCCATACTCTCCTACTCCTAATTACACCCAAGGGGGGAAAATAGATGCTATGACTTTGTTTATGTAACAGAGGAAATTAGTGATTTTCCCACTTGTACTTAGGTTTCACACAGGAAATTTATTTCAGATCATGCCCTGAACACAATTCCCTCCCTCATTCTTTCTGTAAACATTTACTGAGTATTCACTGTATGCCAGGCCCTGGAATTAACACAGATGATGGACAGAGATCCAGTTCTAAAGAATCATTTAGGAAGCTTTTTGAAAACATATTTTTCTGGGCCCCAACTTCAGACTATAAATCAGGAGAGGTCTCCGCAGTAAGGCCCAAAGCAATTATATTTTTAAAAAGCTCCACAGGTATTTCTGATGCATACACCTAATAGAAAACCTGCCTGGGCTGGCCCCATGGCTTAGCGGTTAAGTGCACATGCTCCGCTACTGGCGGCCCGGGTTCGGATCCCGGACGCGCACCGACGCACCGCTTCTCTGGCCATGCTGAGGCCGCGTCCCACATACAGCAACTAGGAGGATGTGCAACTATAACACACAACTATCTACTGGGGCTTTGGGGACAAAAAAGAGGAGGATTGGCAATAGATGTTAGCTCAGAGCCGGTCTTCCTCAGCAAAAAGAGGAGGATTAGCATGGATGTTAGCTCAGGGCTGATCTTCCTCACAAAAAAAAAAAAAGAAAGAAAAGCTGCCTTAGAAAGTTTTCCAAAAATATGCTCAAACAAGTGAAATTTTGCAAATAATTTTAGGGTATTCCTGCACTAATCCATGGACAGCCCTCCACCTGTACCCCCAGGTTAAGCAACCTCTAGAATGTGACTTTTTTAAAAGTAAATACAGAATTGCAGCAATAAAATAAGCATTCTGACAGAGGGGCACCCACGTGAGTCAGCAAGCTTCACTGAAGAGAGTCTTAAAGGACAAACAGCACATTGAGAAAACAGCACGTGCAAAACTGAAAGGCATGAAGCAACATGGTTTGTTTGGCAATCTCCTAAGTAGATGCATGTGACTGGAGCTTAGGCTGTGGGTGTGCTGCAGTAGAGTGAGAAATGAGACTGGAGAGACAGGCAGAAGCTAGATCATAAAGGGTCTTGCCCACATTTTGTTTTTTGAAAGAAAGGGGACTTTTAGTTAAAGATAATGGACTAAACAAATGCAATTACTTCTAATCTTCCCTGAAACCCCATTACAATGACAGTAAAGGGTTTTTAAAGGCATAAAACCCATAAGGACAAAGAAGAGAAGATGAGGTGATGGCAACAACATTTTGGAAACTGCAAAGCAGATGTGATAAATGACTTAGCAGATCAGAGAAAGCCAAATCCTAAATCAGCAGTGTAGAAAGGTGAAAAGCAGAATCCCCCAAAGTTTCAGGAATTGGCAATACTGAGGACCTCAAAAAGTGGGGATAAAGGTGGGCTTACAAACAAGTAGAACGATTGAATCTCCATTTAAGACATGTTAGATCCCTGGATACCCTTCCCTATCCCAGTAAAAGACTATGGTTTTATTGTATGGAAATTTTAAAACAGAGTCCTTAGGATGGGAAACACCAAGCACAAAGGAGCATGAGAGGAACAAATTCTAAACAGGGATCAAGTGCAAGTTTACATACTAAATGTTGCGATCTCTAATCTTCTTTCTACTTCTTCCCTCACAGAGGCTTGCAGCCAGGCTTACACACTCCAGGGAAGAAGAGTGCAGAAGATGCTTCCTTAGGAACTCTGATTAGTCCTTGAGGGAACACACACATACATACACACACATCGAAATGCTGACATCATTGATGGTCAAAGTCCCCAAAGAACCGTTTTATATCTTAATCATGGCAGTAGACCTAACTGTCAAAACTAATAGAACTATGTGCTAAAAAGGGTGATTTTTTAATTGTATATAAATTATACCTTAATAAACCTGACTCAAAAAATCCTCAAGAGATAAGAATAAACTGCATCCATGAAACACAAATGAGAGAAAAAACAAACCAACAGACCGTTGAAAATTAAAAACAGGATATGATAAGACAGCAGAAAAACTCAATAGAAGTTGGAAGAGAAAGTTGAGGGTATCTCCTAGAACAGAGTAAAAAGATAAAGAAAAATCATAAAACTGGCTTAGAGGGACCAACATCCAAATAAATGGAATTTCAGAAAAAGTACAGAGAAAACAAAGAGGAAATCAAAGAAATAATTGAAGAAAATTGTACAGGGTTGAAGGACATGAATTTCCAAATTGAAAGGGCACACTGAGGGTCAGTATTGTGGATGAAAATAGACCTACAAAGCACATCATTGTCAAATTTCAGAGCACTAGAGAAGCTAGAGAGGGTGAAAACATACAAAAAAAAAAAAACAAAAAATAAACCCTAAAACACAAACTGGTCAGATACAAATGATAAAGACATACAACAATGCCTTCAAAATTCTTAGGGAACCTAAAATTTTATATCCAGCCAAATTATCAATCAAGGGTGAGTATGAGAGAAAGATAACTTCAGATATTCAAAGTTCCAAAAAATTTCTTCCCAGTAGCAATCAGAGAAGTAATTAAAAAAAGGGAGGGAAATACAAGAAATGGAGATCCAACAGGAGAGATGGGAAGGGAATTCCCTGGATGGTTATGAAGGAAGATCCCAGGATGAAGGCGATGCATCAGGAGTAGAGGACACCACTGGAGCAGGTTAGCAGGCTGAGGAGAGAAGTCTTCACATAAATGAAACTGATTTATAATACCTGGTGCTCATTAGAGAGGAGATGAAGAGAACTGAGGGAGAGTCAGAAGGCAGTGGCACATTTTTCAAGTGCTAAAAGAAAAGAACTGTCAATCCAGAATCCTATATGTGGAGGAAATATTCAGGAATGAAGGGGAAACTCAGACATTCTCACATGGAAGAAAATTAAAGAAGGAATCTTAGAACGTCTAGGAGACAAAAAGAAAATCATAAGGTAAATTATGTTTGATGGTTAAAGCAAAAATTATAACACTATCTGATGTAGTTCACAATATACGTAGAGGAAATATTTAAGACAATTATATTACAAGTGGGGAAGGGCAAAGGGACATAAAGTGAGGTAAGGTTTCCACACTTCACTCAAACTGGTAAAATGACAACACCAGCAGACTGTGATAAGTTATGCACATATGACATAATACCTAGAGCTACTGCTAAAAAAGCTGTATCAAGAGATACACTCAAAAATACTATAGAGAAATCAAAACAGAATGTTTAAAAAATGTTCAAGTAACCCACAGGAAGGCAATAAAAAGAAAACAGAGAAACAAAAAAGTGGAGAGAACACAGGGCGGCCCAGTGGTGCAAGCAGTTAAGCATGTGCGCTCCGCTGCAGTGGCCCGGGGTTTGCCGATTTGGATCCCGGGCACGCACCCAAGCACCGCTTGTCAAGCCATGCTGTGGCAGTGTCCCATATAAAGTGGAGGAAAATGGGCATGGATGTTAGCCCAGGGCCAGTCTTCCTCAGCAAAACAAAAAAAAAAAAAAAGAGGAGGATTGGCAGATGTTAGCTCAGGGCCAATCTTCCCCCCCTCCCAAAACAAAAAGATTATGACATTCCTAAAATGGTAATATCTGGTTTAATATTCTACACATTTTAAAAGATACAAAAAAAAAGATTACTAAAGAATACTGGTTGCAAACAAATTTTTAAAGCTTAAAATGGGTGGTCTGACAATAACAACAACAATAATTTCCAATAAGATAATAGCTACCACCATTTTATTACTTAACATGGAGCTATAGATGCTTTCCACTGAGTATCTCATTTAATCATCAGCACAATCTCTGATGCAGAAATTATAATCTCCATTTTAAAAAAATATAGGTTTTGTGGGGCTGGCCCAGTGCCACAGCAGTTAAGTTCCCGCCCTGCTCTGTGCTCCGCTTCAGCGGCTCAGGGTTCACAGGTTCAGATCCTGGGCGGCGGACTGATGCACCGCTTGTCAAGCCACGCTGTGGCGGCGCCCCATTTAAAGTAGAGGAAGACGGGCATAGATGTTAACCCAGGGCCAATCTTCCTCAGCAAAAAGAGGAGGATTGGCAAGCGATGTTAGCTCAAGACTAATCTTCCTCACACAAAAAATAAATACATAAAAATAAAAAAAAAATTAAAAAAAAAATAGGTTTTGAGAAGTTAAGTAACTCGTTCTAATGTACCAAAGATGTTTTACCTTTATTTAGGCCTAAATGTGCCTGATCAGTGGAGGACGGAACACAAAATTTCTCATCTCAAAGCTCTGTGTATTTGCTGTACTCTGTACCTGAGGAATGCTTTCCACCCATATATTCTTCTTTTGTTTTTTTTTTTTGTGAGGAAGATCAGCCTTGAGCTAACATCCATGCTAATCCTCCTCTTTTTGCTGAGGAAGATCGGCCCTGAGCTAACATCTATTGCCAATCCTCCTCCTTTTTTTTCCCCTTTTTCTCCCCAAAGC